TTAATATTAGAGTAGAGTTTCGAGATTACCAGTAAATCAGTAATATGAGATGTATTCACCTTATTTCGTCTAAGGTGATGAAGGATTAGTAGTAGAATTTTTCCACAATGATATGAGTTGAGCTGACTTTTCCATTCAATTTACATAGAATTGCTTTCCCAAAAGTTGTTCCAATTCAGGGTGGACTGCAGTTTCTACTACCAGTCCTTCATCTCCTTAAACGAAATTAGGTGAATACATCTTATACTAATGATTAACTGTTAGTCTCTAAAACAATACTTAATTTTAAAAATAAAGTAAATTCTCAATATGAGATGAATTCACCCAATTTCATTTAAGGATGAGAACATCTTTTGGGAAAGCAAGGCAATGTGAAATTGAATGGAAACGTAAACCCAAATCATACCATTGTGGGAATATTCTTCTTCTACCAGTCATTCATTAACTTAAACGAAATTGGGGGGGATACATTTCATATAACTATTTTTTAACCAACTTTTTCCACATTTTACAAATTCTTTTCAACCGCCATATTTTGTTTTGCAATGACAAGTCCTGTTACAATGGTACAGCTTGTCAGCAAAAGCCAAACGACGGCCGATCTGGTTGCCATGACTCCTTTTTGCCCAAAGCCTAACCTTCGTTTCCCTCTTGCTCGCACCACTCCGGTCAGCCTACTACCAATGGGTGCCGTTCATGTTCGGCCTACAGGCAGTGCTGTTCTACCTGCCACGGATCGCTTGGCAGAGCGTCTCGCATCACCGCCTCGGCCTCGACTTCCGCGGCCTGGCTTTTGCGGCCAGACGAGCCGTCAGTGAGCGCTTGGTTAAGGATCGGCGAAAGAAGACAAAGCTGATCGCTAAAAACATCCTCCTTCTGCTCAGCCTCCACCATCAGCCGCCCTCCGGCAAGTCGTCGAGCCAACGTCTCCTCTGGACCCCGTTGACTTTCTGGCCGAGCAAATGGCGCGGAACGTGGATCTTCTTCGCTTTTGTATGCATCAAACTCATCTATTTGGCCAACTCTGTGTTCCAGCTCAGCTTGATGCACGTCTTTTTGGGACTTCGTGAAGCCCCGTGGCTGCTCGGCCTAACTTTGTTCAGTAATGCATTTTTTCGTATCCACCGAAAAGAGTCGCTCTACTTCCCCTTGACGACAGTGTGCACCGTCTCGCTGCACCACTTGGGCACCCTTGACAACCAGTACACCGGCACCTGCGTGCTACCCATGAATCTGTTCAACGAGAAGCTTTTCCTCGCTTTGTTCGCTTGGATCTACTTTGTCACCATCGCAACGGCGCTCAGTCTGCTCTGGTGGCTTTGGCGCATGCTGCAGCAGGAACGGCACAAACAGTTCATTTTACGGCTCTTGTTGACGGACCGGGCAAATCGGTTGAAAATGAATAGACTGGATAGACTGAAGGGTAGCAAAAGAGCTGAGTTAGAAATGACGACACCCGAAGCGAATACGTCGGATGACAAAAACGAGGATGAAGAGAAAGAAAAGATAAAAAAAGAATTGGAATGGAGAATGCTCAAAGGACCTTTAGCAGAAGATGAGATTGATGAGTTCGTCACCAACCTGCTAAGCATAGACGGAGTCATGCTGTTCCGCGTCTTGATACTTCAATATGGCCTGGCAACGACGAGCGAAATCATCAACTTTCTCTGGAAATTCTATCACATTCAGATTAAACAAACAAAAAAGCCCTCTACTCCGGAAACAGCATCACTTACAACCTCAGTTCCCAGTCTCCCAGAGCTACTTAAATGAGCTCTGACCATACAAATGTCTTCATTTACATTCAGATCCGTCTGGAATCCTGTTTAAAATACATTTTCTCTCACCTTTCTTCGGCAACCTTTTGTCAATCAGACCCTACAAAACTGTCGACAAGACGCGGTGATGTCATATTGAGGCTTATATTTCTGGTAGAATCTGTCGTTTGATCATTTATTTGTTCCGCTGGTCTGTCATTTTTGAATCCGACGCCAGTTTGGCCGAGGCTCTTGTTGATCCGGTTGGATCAGAACCGCGGAATTGAGGTCGACTGAAGAGCCCGCGAAAACGGAAGCAAAGCAACCATAATTTCGTGGTTTTAAGTGACTTGTGTGACTTCGGCCATCCGGTGAGATTTACTCGTTCATACGCACAAATAAAAAGAGCGTTTTGATTAATCTCTTTAAATAACATTGTCGTGAAGACTTTCATTTGGCATAAACATGCATTCGTAAGAGATTCGAAAGTCGGTCTCATCAGAAGACATTTTACTGCAGCTGCTTGGCTTTAAA